GGGCCCGCGCCCCCTGCGCCCTGGCGCCCGGCGCTCACGCGGGCCCTTTGTGTCTCTTCTCCTCCCGCAGCAAGATGTTCATCGGGGGACTCAGTTGGCAGACTACGCAGGGTGAGCGAGCCTGGGAGCGCCCGCCGGCCCGGCAGGGCACCCCGGACCCCCCGGCGCCCCGGAACCGGACACCCCAGCCCGGCCCTGCGCCCTGCTGACCCCGGGCGCCCCCGCGCCCTCTTTCGCGCCCCGCCCAGGGACCCCGAGAGCGCAGGGCGATCGGCGAGCGCGCACGGCCCAGCGGGTGGAGGGGAGGGGATGAGGGGTTCAGGGGGCATGGGGAGGTGGGCTGGGCCCCCGAGACCCGCCGGCGGCAGCGCCAACTCCGCTCGCACCTGCGGCTCAAACTTTTGTGAGGCGGCTCCCGGAGCGGCGGGAACCCGGCCGGAGCCGTCCCCCTTCCAGCCCAGTTCGGCCCTCGGCTTCCTGGGGCCCCGGTGGGCGCCAGGAGGCTCCACTGGAGCCGGGTGAGGGCTGGGGGGGCAGTGGAGAGCTCGCAGGCAGCTTGGCGCGGGGGTGGCGGGGCCGCTCCGGGGTCACTGGGGGCAAAGGACGGGGGAGGGGGGAAGGGCGCGGGGCTGGGCTGGTACGAAGGCGGGTGTGTGGTTACAGAAGGGCTGCGCGAATACTTCGGCCAGTTCGGGGAGGTGAAGGAGTGTCTGGTGATGCGGGACCCCCTGACCAAGAGATCCAGGTGAGCCCCTCACCCCCTCCTCCTGCTCCCGGCTCGCCCCCCTCCACCGCCACTCACTGCCTTGTAACCATCTGCCTCTCCCTCACCACGGCGCGCAGGGGTTTCGGCTTCGTCACTTTCATGGACCAGGCGGGGGTGGATAAAGTGCTGGCGCAATCGCGGCACGAACTCGACTCCAAAACAGTGAGTGGCCCTCGGGGCTTCGGGGGTCCTTTGGGAGAGGGAGGCTGCCGGAGGAGAGGGTCAGGACTCTCCCCAGGGGACAGCTGAACGGGGTCCTTAAGGAAGGAGGGAGTTTTCTGAGTAGAAAGGCTGCCATGCTCTGAAACTTTGTCACTAGAGTTGAGAAGAGAGGGAGGAGAAAAATTCTAGGCCTGCCATGAGATGCTGCATCCCTCCACCCCTCCTGTATTGGTGAGGGATGAGCAGCCACCACCTCCTCCCTATAGGTACTAATCTTGATGCCTCAGAGAGGAGCTGAGGGTGGGGCCAGGTCCCTCCCCTAACCCAAATTGGGTGAGTCAGGGCTGCAGCGACCCACCCCGTGGCTTCTCTGAACTCTAACTAGTATTTGGCTCTGCGACACCCCCCCATTCCAGACCAATGGCAAAGCATCACTGAATCCCCCTCCCTTCCTCCCTCCCTCCCTCCCCCGACTTTTGGTCAATGAGCTCCTTGCTTTGTGTGGAAGACTGGGACCTGCCTTGCCCATGAAGGGATTTATGAGAAGGGAGCTAGCTTGCCTGGAAACAGCCCTTCTGAGGGCTAGGTCTTAGCTGCTTGTTGTGGCATTCAAACTCCTGGAACATTTTGCTGCTGTCCCACTGCTCCCCAGTGTCTTGGGCCCTGCAGGGGGCGCTGGCCCAGGCCCTGGCTAGAGGGGAGAGGGAAAAGGAGAAAGTCAGAGGAGGGGTTAGTCTGTGATGGGGGTGACCGTCTGCCAGGGGCTGGGACACTGTGATCTCTCTCCACACTCCCCCACTCTTCCCTAGCCCTGGGCCTCCCTGCTTGGGTCAGCCACTGGCTCCTGTTTACCTGCAACAATAGCTGGCTGTGCCCAAGAATTTGTTAAATTACCGCCTGTCCCCAGCTCCTGTTATCTCTGCCCAGTGGCTCCCACTCCACTCTCTTGCAGTAATGAGCAAATGAGGCCGGGCCTCAACTTTGCTGGCTCTGAAAGGATCTTCTTGGCGCAGACTGAGTGACCCAAGCTGGGAATGGAGAGACAGTGGCCTATTGTTTTTGGTGATTATCTGCCATCGAGCTGCCTGTTCTCCTACCATCCCCTGTCCTCAGAATGCACTGATGGCTTCTGCAGCGCTCAGGAAGCTGAGATTTAGGGGCCAGGGCTGGGGGCAGGGGCAAGGGAGATTGATAAAGGGAAGAGAGGGGAGGAAGGAGGGTGAGATGGGCATCCTTCTGAGATTCAGGACTCCAGAAGGGCTAGGGCTTTGTGTTTGGCGTTCTCTGGCCTGGGGAAGGGGGGAGGGAGGTTTATTGTGGGGAGTCTATTTTGGGTTCTGACTTTCACCTTTTATTTACTTGTTGGGTTTTACTTATGTTGCCAGCTGTGAGTCAGAGTGGAGGTGGGGTGTGTCAGGAATCGGGTGTGCGTGGGTCTGCGGTTCGTGGCTTGGGTACCATCTCCCCATCAGGGTCTGCACAGGGGGACTGTCTGAGGTGTGCTCTGGTGGCTGGGGAGACTGCTTCCAGGAGAAATAGAAGGATGGAAATGTCCATGGAGGTACGAAATCACACCTTCAGATAGGGGAAATGGGCAGCTACAGTTTTCCCTGGAGCCCCGTGGGACTTTGGGAGAGAAGAGGCATTGCCCCAGCATGGATTTTGGAGTTCCTTCTCTGTGGGCAGATTCCAGTGGGGAAGCCTGTAGGACGCTGGTCCCTGTTCGTGGCATTCAGGCAGAGAGGAGCCAGAGCCAGTTGCCTAGAATGAGGCTGAGTTTTGAACAGAAGGAACTTTGGGAAAAGATAGATCTTCCCTGCGATTGGCTGGTGAACTTCTGAGTGGTGTCCACCCATGTGAGTGGCAGGAAACTCGGGAATGACCGGGCCTCATAGGTCCTGCATCAATCAGAGTGTCTCATGCTCTGGCTTGTGCTGTTTGTCAGTACAGGTATAGGACCCAGGTAAGTCTTGCTTTTCCCCTCTGGTTGCTCACAGCCAAGGGCAAAGGTGGCCCGCTGGTAATAGCACCTTTGTTTGTGCAATGAAGGGCAGTTCACAAAGCGCCGCTTTCACTCATGTTATCTCATTCACTTCCCCACAGCTGCCCCTGGGAAAAGTGGGTGTGATTGTCCCCACTTTGCAGATGAGGGAACTGAGGCTCAGAGGGGTCAGGCAAGTTACCAAGATCACAGGCCTGGCCGGGGGCCCAAAGTTTCTGAGTCCAAGTGCCATGTCCTTGCACGTCACTGAAGCCTGCGCTCTGATTTACCCCAAGCCCAGCTGCATCATCAGGGCACTGTTTGCTTGCAGCCTCAAGGAGGGCGTTAGATGTCGATGGTGTTGGGGAAACAGAACTGAGTCTACTCCTGTTGGTTTATGAAACCTTATCTTGAAGCTTTTTTCAAGCAAAGAGTATTTCCATTCACAAGGCTTCCAGAGCCTTCCAGAGTCTGGATTGCATGCCTCACCTAGACAGGTATCTGTGTGAAGTCAGTTAGGCAGGGAGGGCCCCCCATTTACCTGCAGCTTGGAGGAATAAGACTTTGCTTACTTTTTTTTGGTTCTTGCTGTGAGCTAGACCCCATGCCAGGTGCTTTGTAAGCATTGTCTCAAATAATCCACAGATGACCCTTTGAGGTGGATGTTATTATCTGCCCATTTTGCAGGTGAATTGGACCCTGAGGCTCAGAGAGGTTAAGTAACTTGTGCAAAGTCTCACAGCTAGGAAGCAGTGAAAGGGGATTCGAACCCAGCAGCCTGGCTCCGGGGCCTAAATGCTTAACCACTACACTTTCCTGCAGAGGCTGTGGTGGTTTCTGTCACCTCTGTGTCACCTCTATGTCCCGGGACGAGAGAGGTCCTCAGGGCTGAAGGCTGTGTGGTCACCATCTGAAATATGATAACCAAGGCCCCTTTTACCTCTTTCTTGTCTTTCAGATTGATCCCAAGGTGGCCTTTCCTCGGCGAGCACAGCCTAAGGTAGGTGTGTCTGTACCTGGGAGGGGTCGTGTTACTGCGGGCAGTGATTTTCCCAGTGTTCCCATCTATGGAAGATGCTTCTGGAACCTCTGTTTGGAGTGTTTCTGGAATGGACTGGGATGAGAGGAGGGAGGATTCTTGATGTCCTTGCTCTGTGGATTGCATCAGAGATCATGCATCTTCCATCTGTGCTCTGGGGTGGACTGGGGTGGGGGCTGCCTGTGTTGAGACGGGGGAACCCCTCAGGGGATTCATTGTCCTGTATTTGAAGCCAGTACAGTTTGGGCCCTGAGTCTAACTCTGACCTCAGAGATCACAGCATCTGTGCCCCATGCTTCTGGAGATCAAACACAGGAGAGACTTGCCCCCTGAGGCTGAGCTAGAGTCGGGCCATGGAGCTACCTCTGACCCCCTCAGTCACCCTCCTACCTCTAGGGTGAGGTGTGTTGGGCTTGCAGAGGGGCAAGGGACCATAGAGTCTGTTGTCTGTTGTCCTTCAACTTGGGTGACTGGGGCTGCCCTCCCAGTGCTCTCTTTCCTTGGTGCTGTGGCAAGTTTTTCTGAGTGTGTGGGAGGCAGATTTCTGAGCAGTTGAGCTATGTAGCACCCAAAACTTTGGGTGCAGGGCAGGGACCTAAGATTCTATTCCAGGCCCGAGGGCAACTAGCCAGGTCTTAATTTTTAAGCGGTCAAAAATGGGAGCCAGGCAGAAGGCTGATTACAGTACAGGGAGCAGGCGCCCCGAGTTGGCTGACTTATCGTGTGTCCTAGGACCTGGTCCCTCTCCAGGAGACCTCAGTTTCCCCCTTTGCAAGGGGGTTGGTGGGAACGAGGATGCTTTCAGGTTTTGAGCCATGGCACCGAGCTCCTGCTATGGCAAAGAGAGAGGGGCAAGTTTTAGGAGACATCTCTGGAAAGGTCCAGCAGAGGGCCTGAAAGCAATTATGGAGCAGGTATTCGAAGGCAGCCGCACCAGGGAGCACATGGTTGGAATTGGGTTAATTCCATTAAGCAGTTTGGTGACAGAAGGTGCTTTAGTGTTAGGATGGGGCTGGGAATTGCCGTGGATTAGCCATGCGCTCCTGGGGTAATTAGGACCATGTGTTCTTCCTAAAACAGGACTGGGCCACGGGGCTGCCAGAGGTTGGGTTGGGAGGTTGATGAGGAAAATGTCGGCGTTGAGTTCTGGGGACCCTGTGATGGGCTTTGGTCTCTCCCAGGGGGGCTGGTGGGGTCTTTGAGGTAGGCTGTAGCTCTGGGTCACTAACCGCCCCCCCTACCTGTCTTGGTCCTTGGGGAAGGCATTTTCACGACACAGACCCCAGGGAGGGAGGCTGGAGGGAGGCACACTCGAACCAGCCAGGGTGTGGGGTGCACAGCTGCCCATGACAGGCCTAGAGGCGGGTGTCCAAGGGGGAGCTCGGGGGGGCCTTCCGAGTAGCTGGGGCCACAGAGAGCTTGTCAGCTGGCGCCCTGGCAGGAGGGCTCGAGCCCCTGCTGGTGGCGGTAGGCCACAGGACTCAGATGCCCACTTTCTCATTCCCTCCCCCTAACAGATGGTGACTCGAACGAAGAAGATCTTTGTGGGGGGGCTATCAGTGAACACGACGGTGGAGGACGTGAAGCAATATTTTGAGCAGTTCGGGAAGGTGGGTCCAAATGGGGGGTGCTTGCTGGGGCTGTGAAAGCTCTGTAGAATTGGTCAGTAGCAAGCAGAGTCCAGCCAGGTGGTTCCAGTTCCTGTAAGAGGCGAAAAGGGGGCTGGATCCTTCTGTGGGTGAGGCTAGGTCAACCCGCTGTTCAGGCTCCTGGCCTGTGTATGGGCCTCAGACTCTGGACACATCCCCGGGGAGAGAAGCCACACAGTAGCTGCCCCTGTTGTGGCCCTTCCCCTGTGTTTTTCTCTTGCTTATCTTCATTCTCCCGAGGGAGGCTGCGCTCCCATAGCCAGTTCAATCCAGTCGCCCCTTAGCCTCCTGGGAGTTTGCACCTGTCCAGGCCACAGGCGGTTGTGCCTTCCCCCACCCCTTCCTGGTGAGGATGATAAGGAGGCAATAAATAAGACTCCCAATTGCACTCAGCACCCTGCTTGCACAGGTGGGGAGCTTGGGGCAGAAGCTGGGGTGGTGGGTAGTGCTGATCCCCTGGCTATTTGGGGAGGAGTTGAAGAGAGCACCCCAAATTCCTGATCAGGTCCAGAGGATTGGCTTTCAGCTCTGAGGTGCATCAAGCTTAAATTTCTGGGCCATTTAGTCTACGAAAAGGTAGGAGATGTGGCGACATCAGACAATAGGGTGTCCCCAGACAGGTGAGCAATGTGAACGTCAAGGTGCCATGGAGAGATGGCAATGAGGGGACCCAGTTTTAAGTCTGGGGTGAAGTAGGGCTGCTTAGTGCTGGGGTCCCTGGTCTTTCCCTATGGGAGAGAGACTACAGGCTGGGTCTCTACCTTCGCATCAGGGCATTTTCTGTTCCCTGATAGGCAAAGGGCAACGGAGAAGTGTCTTGGGAGTGGGATGTGAGCTGGGGACTGGGTGGGTTTCCAGCCCCGTCTCTAGGGTAGAAGAGGAGAGAGTGGGAGGTCCCCTGGCCAGCGGATGCTGGCGGCGTGAGGGCCAGAGGCCTAGGCTCAGGCACCTCCGTGGGGACCCGGGTACAGGACCGAGGGCAGGTCGGCGGCCTGGGCCCCAGAGGGAAGGGCGCTCCTGGGAAGCAGCAGGCCCCGCTCGGCTCCGGCGGGGTGTCTTTGTGTCTGAGCGCCGAGCATTAGAGCTCGCACTAATCTGATCCAGCAGCTGTGATTGGAGGCCGCCTGCCCCCGGGGCCGGCGTTGCCATGGCAACCGGGCCCCAGGAGAAGCCGTCAGCGGCCGCGTCTTTTGTTCGGGCCTAAATCGGCGTTGGCATGTGAAACCGGCCCGGGGAGGCCAGGGGGAGCCGGAGAATAGGCTGCCAGGGAGCGAGGGGGACAGCCGGGAATGCCAAGGGCCCCGCGGCGGGGGGCCCCCCGCCCGGATCGAGGGGCCGCCGCCGAGGGGGGAACAATGGTCAGCCGCCATGGCTGCCACTCAGGCTTAGCGGCCGCCGAACTTGGCGGCTCCCACTGGTCAGCAGGCCTCGGCCGCCTCCCCTCCCCCCGCCCGAGCCCCCTTGCCCCCGGGTTCCCATGGAGACCAAAGCCTATTAAGGACACTGAGCTGGGAGCCTCCCTCCCCTCAGCTGGCCCCAGGAGGGGACACCAGTGGGGGTCCCCTGGACCCCCAGCCACTTTCCTTGCTCCCTGCCCTGGCTTCAACTCTGTCCAGCCAAGGCCCAGGTTGAAGGGTCTGGGGGGGTCGGAATGGTGGAGTCGGAAGGTTGGGTGGAGGAAGGTGAGAAGGGCTGCAGATTTGGGCTGAATCAGTTTGTGCGTCAGGCAGGAGCTCAAAGCTGTAGTATCAGGGAGGAGGGCGTGGCTGGTTCTTCCATTCATTCATTCATTCAGAACTAATTATTGAGCACAAGTCAAGGTGCTCAATAACTGGTCATAAATGACACAGGCACTGTCCTCATGGAACCTTCAAAGCCAAGGGTGTTGGGCTACTCTCTCTCTTGCTTTGCTCCTCTCCCACATGTGACTGTGGGCAAGCCCCTCCATAATATAGGTAATAATAGCTGTTATTTATTAAGCACTTACTGTATCCCAGATACTGTGAGTTGTTACATGCGCTATCTCATTTAACTCGTCCCTATATGATAGACACTGTTACGCCCATTTTACAGATGAAGAACCTGAGTCATGGAGACACAAAGCCACTTGCCCGAGGTTACCCAACCAGCAAATGCAGGATCTAGGATTCCAATTTGGGCCTCTCCTACTCAAAGCCTGTGTTTTTATCACAAGCCTCCCTTCTGGGTTTCTCTTTTCCATTGTTTAAGTGAGGGAGTGGGGAAGATGTGCTGAGCCTGAAGTGATTGGTCCAGTTTGGATGGTCCAGCTGATTTGGGATTGGGCCTTAGAACGGGTCCATAAGGATGGGAGCGAGGGTGGCACTCCACTGCGGGGCCCCCGGGCAGGAAGCTCCTTGGGGAGGGAGATGTCATTTCCCTCAGAGATTCTCCGGGTACCCAGCTGCCTCCTGGCTCAGTGGGGTCCTGGTACTCCCGGGGAAGTCAGAGGCCCAGTGTAGCTTGGTGCCTGAGGAGAGCTGGAGGACCACCCTCTTGAGGGCTGCCCTTTCCACTTTAGTGAGGCAGATGACGGGCCTGGAAAGAGAGTGCAGGAGAGTAGGGGAGAGGCTGTGCCCCATGGCCTCAGGGAGTTTTCCTTCATCCTTTGGGTGTCTCACCATTTGGGGGAGGGTCGGCAGCTGGAGTGGGATGGGGGGTGTGGTATCAGAAGCAGCCCTGATTTCCACCCAGGATGAATCAGACCTTAGTTTAACCCCATGAGATAGCTGACATTGGCTGAAGAATTCAGAGGGCAAAGAGGAAGCACCAGATGTAGGCAAAGGGAGGGAGGTGGGACTGCAGGAGGGAAGCTAAGGCCTTTGGCTGTCCTTGTAGCCAAGGGGATGCCTTGAGGGAGTAGCCAGAAGAGAAGACTGGGGTCCAAGGGAGGGGGGATAATGTAGAGCCTCCCCCTTCCTCAGCCCCTTTCCCCTCCCCCAGTCAGTGGGAGGCAAGCAGCCCAGGCACTGAACTCTACTTGCTTTAATTACAGCCTCTAGCAAAAGGAAACCTCAATTAGAGGAAAAGATCTGTACCAGGAGAGGGGAGTCAAGTCTGGCTGGAGCGGCTGCTGTCCTCCTGGCTTTTTGCAAAAAGAGAAGAGACTTTCACTTCCCCATCTCGTATCTTGCGCCCATATTTCCTCCTCTAGCACCCACTCTGTGCCTTCTCCTTCCAGGCTTGGTCTAGCATTTGCTGTGTGACCTTGGGCAGGTGACTTCACCTCTCTGAGCCCATTTCCTTATCTATAAAATGAGGATCTTACTATGTGGGGAATGTGGAGAGGATAATGGGGCAAAGTGCCCAGCACATATTTGGTGCTTAATATTTGCAGGCTGGTCCATTGAGAATTAGGAGTTGAAAGAGAGGTGCTGTAGCATTCAGTTGGGGTTGCAGATGGAAAGCTGTCCCCTGCCCAGGGAGCTGGTTTAAGATAAAGCCTAGACTGAGCAAAAGGGGGTGGGCGTGGGAGCCCCTGCTCCTGGGTTGTGGTGGGTCCCCTGGTGTCTGCTGAGTCCTCCATGGCAGGCTCTGTTTCAGGTGGACGATGCCATGCTGATGTTTGACAAAACCACCAACCGGCACCGAGGTGAGTGTGGCCCCCTCCCCCTTCCCAGGCCAAGCTGGGGGCCTGTGGTCAGCCAGGGGGCTGCAGGTCACAGCTGTCCTTTCATCTCGCCTCCTGACATCCTATCCCCAAGGATCTGCATCCTCTCCCGGGCCTGGCCTTACAGAAGGCTTTTGTCCCGCCATTTCCTGTGCTAGAAACTTGCCGAATTGCAGACACCAATTGCAGACACTCGAGAGGAGCAGAGGAGCAGACCTCCCCACTACAAACCGAGCCCTCCACCCCCGCCCGCCCCAGCTGGTGTCTGCCCAGCCAGTGTCTGCTGGGGCTTACCTTGTCCCTGGTAACCAGAGCTTGGGCCAGGCCGCCCCAGGGTCAGGCTGACTCCACAGCCCCGGGCAGTCTTCTCCTACCACTGCCCTCTAACCCCCACCCACGGGCAGAGCCCAGCCCCCAGCCCCCTTGCCCCTGAACCTGTGAGCATCTGGGCCACAGTGTGCACACTGCCTGCTTGTTTTTCTCCCAAGGGCCTTGCCTTCTGAGAACTCCCATTCCAGCCCCTGGGGCACACCCAGGAGGAGGCGGGGTTGTTTCTCCAGTTGCTTCCGGGCTTTGGGTGTTTTAGCCTGTTTTCGGATTGGAGTATGAGCTGTTGTGTGTGTGTTTATATCTGTGCATATGAGGGTGTCCGTGTCTGAACATCTGTGTATATCTGGTGTGTCAGGGTAACTGTACATGTAGGGGAACCTTTGTGAGCATTGGCGAGTGTCTGTGTGATATATGGGTACCTAGTTGTGTATGTATGCACGTGTGTTCACTACGAGTCGTGTATATGTGTGACTGTGCAAGCATATGTCTGAGTGTGTACACCTTTGTGTAAGTTTAAATAAGTATTTGTATGTATCTGGTGGGTACCTACTTTCCCTCTTTGGAAAGCATCTGAGAAAGAGAAAGGGCGTGTTGAGTATATTCATCACAGCTCTGCCACTTTCTAACTTGCTGTGTGACCTTGGGCAAGTCACTTCACTTTGCTGAGCCTTGGTTTTCACATCTGTAATTTGGGACTAGAAACCGCGTCTCAGCGGATAGTTGAGAGGTTCCTAGGCTGTGGGCAGAGCCTTTAGTTAACCTCAGACACGGGCCTGCTAGAGAGGAGTGGTGGTGTTGGTATGACTAGGGGCAGCCTTTTGACCGTGAACCCTGGTTCTGACCCTGCCTTTGCCTTCCAGGGTTCGGGTTTGTCACGTTTGAGAGTGAGGACATCGTGGAGAAAGTGTGTGAAATCCACTTCCATGAAATCAACAACAAAATGGTGAGGGGGGATTGGATGGGGTAGAGGTGCAGAGAAAGACTGCGGCTCCAGGCTGAGCCAGCCAGGGATGCTCAGAGGTCCTGGAGGCAGGTAGAGGGGCAGAGCCAGTCCTCCCAACTCCTGAAAATCGGGACAGGAAGGCAGTGTCCCATGACGGTTAAAAAGCATGGCTGGTGGACTGAGAGAGACCTGAGTTAAAATCCTCACTCCATGGGCCGGCCCGGTGGCTTGGTGGTTAAGTGCGCGCGCTCCGCTGCTGGTGGCCTGGGGTCGGATCCCGGGCGCGCACCGAGGCACTGCTTCTCTGGCCATGCTGAGGCCGCGTCCCACATACAGCAACTAGAAGGATGTGCAACTATGACATACAACTATCTGCTGGGGCTTTGGGGGGAAAAAAATAAATAAATAAAAATTATAAAAAAAAAAAAAAATCCTCACTCCACTGCTTGCTAATCTAGTCATTGGGCAGATGACTTCTCCCCTCTGAGCCTCAGTTTCCTGCTCTGTAAAATGGGAGTGGCAATAGCACCTCCATCACATGGTTGGTGTCAGCGTTCGATGATCTATTGCATGCAAAGCCATTTACACAGTGCCTAGCGCATAGTGAGTGGTAACTATGTCAATAGCACATCGTAAATGGTAACTATGAAATTAACAATACAGAGGCCTGCCAGGGAGCAGGAGGGTTGGTGATGCTAGGACTGTAGGAGGGACTGACCCCAGGCCTCATTGCAGGTGGAATGTAAGAAAGCTCAGCCAAAAGAGGTGATGTCGCCGACGGGCTCGGCCCGGGGGAGGTCTCGAGTCATGCCCTACGGAATGGACGCCTTCATGCTGGGCATCGGCATGCTGGGTATGTGCTAGGCCTGCACCTGTGGCTTCTTCCTGCCCGGAACTGCTCCCGGGGCTATGAGGGGCTGCGTGGGTGTCACATCTCCTCTGTGGTCTGCCCTCCTGTCTGAGTCATTGGGTAGGAGTGGGGACCAAGGATCTCAGGTCTGGCAGTCCTACCAAAGGTGGGGTGGTTTGGTTTGGGGGTGCTGCCCTCTGGTGGTAGCCAGAAGAATGGTCCAGTTGCTCCATGTTAATTGGTTCTTGTGTCCGTCTGTCTGTTCATCCGTCTGTCCATCTATCCATCCAGTAAATAGTTATTGAGCAACTGTAAATGCTAGGCACTATGCCAGGAAGTACAACAGAGACTTTCCTTGGAGCTTACAGTCTGGCAGGGAAAACAAATAAGGAAGAACATAAACAAACAGGTTTCGGATGGAGAGGTGTAGGGTGCCAAGGGAGCATGGTCATAGGGAACTTGACCAAGACTTGGAGAAGCCAGAAAAGAAGTTACATTTAAGCTGAGTCTTCAGGTTGAATAGGAGCTGGTTATGGGAGGACAGGGGAGAAGGGAAGGGAAAAAGTGTTCCAGGTGGAGGGAACAGCATTTCCAAAGACCCAAAGGCCTTTGGGAAGGCAAAAAGAAGGCTACTGCTTCTTGTTCCTTCAACTAATATTGATTAAGCAGCTTCTGAGAGGCAGGACCTGCCCCCCTGGGGTTCTCTATCAAGTGGAAGACAGGAGTAAATGGGTAGTGTCACCACAGAGGGACTGGAGGCTGTAGGAAGCCCAAGGAGGTGCCTATACCCATCTGGGGATTGGGGAGACTCCCTGGAGGAGGTGAAGGCTGCCATGAGCCTTGTAAATTGAGCAGGAGTCGGCAGCCCTTGGGGCCCACGACTGAGGGTAGAAAAGCTTCCTGGGCCCCCAGGAAGCTCAAAGACTCCCTGGAGAGGCAAGATGTGTACACAGAGAGAGAAGAGTACAAGGGGGTCTTTATACCAGGTATGGGGGAGGGGTGTCTAGGAATTCAGAGGAGGGGGCATGGCATGGGCTAGAGGGCCAGGATTGTAATTATAGATAGGGTGGGCGAGGAGAAAACCCTCCAAATGGGGCACTGTCTTCTCTTAAAGTTTTTAACTTTTTATTTGGAACTAACTTGAAACTTTCAGAAGAGTTGCAAAAATAAAGTAGTACAAAGAACATCCATATACCCTTTACCAGATTCACCTGTTGTTAACATTATACCCCATTTGTTTTATTATTTTCTCTCTCTGTTTGTGTGTATATGTGTATATATACATGTATATGTGTATACACGCACAGTACACCTGTGATTTTTCCATGAATCATTTGAGGGTAAGTTACCTGTGTTATGGCCCTTTATCCTTAAATATTTCGGTGTGTATTTCCTAAGATTAGGGATACTTTTTCATGTAACCACAGAATAGTTATCAACTAAATTTATATTAATACAATATTTTGATCTAATCTACTATCTATTTTTCTGTTTTATCAATTGACCCAATAATGTTCTTCATAGCATATTTTTGACCTCCAGAAGATGCTAGAATCAGCTATTGCGTTTAGCTGTCCTGTCTCTTTGGCCTCTTTTGATCTGGAACATTGAGAAAGTTTTCTTTTCAAGGTGATTCATGAGCTGGTTTTACCCCATTTAAAAAGTGAAAGAAAAGAAAAAGAAAACCTCTAAGAAATAGTGAGAGTGGTGGTTAAGAGCCTTGGAGCCAGTCAGATCTGAATTTGAATCCCAGTTGCACCATTATTACTCACTATATGATTTTTCTTTCAAAGCTGCAAATATTTATTAGATGCATACTAAGTAGTAGGCGATGTGCAGGTGCTGGAGATACAGAAATAAAAGATGGGGAAGACAGAAAATCAGCACTTAAAGAAATCCTGAGATAACTTCAGAGAATGACTGTCAGTGCTATGAAAGTGACATGATAAATATTGTAACTAATGGGAGGGAGGGAGGACTCTTGTGGGGTGACCTCCCTGAGGAGGTGACATTTGAGCTGAGACTTGCACAATGAGAAGGACACAGTCATGTGAAAACCTGGGGGAAGAGTGTTCCAGGCAGAGGAAACAGCATGTGCAAAGGCCCTGAGATGGGAAGGAGCTTGGTGAATTTGAGAAACAGCGGGGAGGCGAGTGGGGCTGGAGCAGAGTGAGCGAGGGGCAGAGGGTAGATGAGGATGGGAGGTGGGCAGGAGCGGGAGCACAAAGGGCCTTGACAAGGAGTTTGGAGTATTCTCAGACAATAAGTGTCACCTCTCTGAGCCCCATCTGTAAAATGGGGCTCTGAATAGGACCTATCTCTTAGGGTTCTTATGAGGTTTAATGAGTGAATAAAGGGTGCAGCGGGCTTACTACAGAGCTGGGCTTGCAGAAGGTATTTGGCAAATGTGACCAACTGTTATTCGTGATATGAGGTGGGGAGGGAAGTGAGAGGCTCAGATCCTTCCCCACTGAGCAGGGTCCGAGCTGGAGGCAAGGCATCTGATTCTAGCCCCCTTTCCCCATCAGGTTACCCTGGTTTCCAAGCCACCACCTATGCCAGCAGGAGTTATACAGGCCTCGCCCCTGGCTATACCTACCAGTTCCCCGGTAAGTCCTGCTCAGTGTCCCTCTGCTGCCAGCATGTCCCTGGTTCCTGGGCAGTCTGACTCCTCAGGGTGGTGTCTGGGGGTGCATGGCTGGGGGGGGGTCTGCCTGCTGGAGGCTTGGAAGGAAGGGCATGTCTGAGGAAGGAGCGCCTCTCCCGACCCATCCCCTCCTCACCCCCTCCCTGGAAGCTGGGGGCGGGGGGCTCCTGGAGTGGCCCTGCATGGCACCGTTCTCTCCCAGGCCGATCTCTGCCTGCCTCTTGCCTTTCTCTCCTCCCCATCCCACTCTGGGGTTGCCACTTCCACCAAAGAGGGCACCGGGCTTGTGCGGGGAGGGGGTTGGGCTCCCTGAGGGCCAACATTGGTTGTGTCTTTATGGACACACTTAGAATGACCTTGTGGTACACTGAGCCCACTCAAGGCCAAGACCTTTGGAGACCCTGAATGCTGAAAAACTATTTAAAAGCATGATGATTGCCATCCTCATTTGTAATTCAAAATAAAAATAACACTAGACCTTCAAATAAGTGGCAGGGAGCCCAACAAAGATCTGAACTTTCCCATGATGACTTTTCCATGTTGTTTTCTTTGAAATATCAGACTTTTGCAAGGCATTTTTTTTTTTTTTGGTCTTATTTTAGAGAGTCTCTGAGCGCTTGCATCATTTGCATCTTGAGCTGTCCAGGTTGGAATCCTCTGTACACATTATGTTGTCTAATCTTCACAATAATGTCATGGGAGAGGGATGTGATCCCCATATATAGGTGAGGAATCGGGCTCAGAGAGGGAGAGGGACTTGCTAAGGTGGCTTAATTAGAAGGTGATGGAGCTGGGAACCAAACGGAAGCCTGACCTGCTCTAGGGTCATCACTTTTCATCAGTGCTGCCTCCCTGGCTCCTCCTTCCCCCCAAAAATAGAAGAGGAGGATTCTGGGAGATATTTTGGTGCAATCTCAAGCCTTTTAAGAAACACCGGGAACAGTAGCCCCAGCATTGCCCTGTGCCCAGGGTATAGGTGGCAACTCTGCCCAATCTTTCTCTCTCTGTGTCTCTCCTCTGTGTCCATGTCTCCTTCCCCAACCTTGCTTGCTGAGGACCGTGCTGTCCCCATCCCCAGCTCTTGGGTCCTATGCATGGCCTGTCTTCCCACCTAGTATCCCCGTGGGTGCATTTGTCCTCCGTGGGCCATGCCCGAGGGACCTCCCCTGCATCTTCCTAAGCTGTTTTACGTTTCATTTTAGAATTCCGTGTAGAGCGGACCCCTCTCCCGAGCGCCCCAGTCCTCCCCGAGCTTACAGGTCAGTCGCTCGGATTTCATACATCTCACAGGCCACATGGGGAGAAAGAGAAGGACCCAGGGACCTCTCTGGGGAAAGCTAGCAGAACCCTTTTCTCCGGCCCGCCAGCCCTCCGGCTGTGGGGATACAGCAGACTCTGCCCAGGCACTGGCCAGTCTGTGTAGCTACATGGCCCTTAAGGGTGGGGCATAGGGCCAAGCCCAGCAGATGGAGGCGAAGTTGCTCATTCATCCATTTGGCAAATATTTATCTAGCACCTCCTGTGTGCCAGGCACCATACGGGCACTGAGATCCAGCGGTGAACAAGCCAGGGTCTCAAACTCAGAGCAGAGCGGGCCGGGTGAGGACTTTGGCAAAGTGGAGTGGGCGTGCCTCCACTCAGTGCCAGCTGACCTTGCCTGGAGGGGATGCAGACCCAGTACTTTCAGATCTCACTTTCCAAGAGAAGCCAGAAACCCGGCTTTTGCGTTTGAATGAATTTTTCAATTATTGTCAAATGTTGGCGACAAATCCCAAATTTTTAAAACACTTCAGGCCAAATGAAACATGTTTGAGGGCTGCATCCAGCCCTAGGGCTGCCCGTTTGCACCTTCTGGGCAAGAGGGATGAAAGTGCTTGTTCATCCAGAGGCCACTCTCCAGCTGGAGCTTTCCCTTGGGCCAGGCAGCTCAGCTCTGGAGCTGGGGGCAAGGCCAAGGCCAAGGGCAGGGGAGGGGCATATGCAGATGAGGGGGCCTGCAAGGGGTTCTCTGTTCAACCTGCTTCTCCCCCACCCCACCCTCAGACTCTACCCCTCAACCTGGCCGCGTGTGGAGGACGTGAGCATGGGTGCTGCGTTAGATGAGACCTTCCTTCCAAGGGGTGCTCAGGGGTCCCCCAAAATGGGGGAAGGGAAGAGAAACGTGGAGTGAAGGAAGGGGAGGGAGTAGAGAGTCCTGGAGGTGGGGGTGATGGGCACTCTTCCCTGAGCAGAGTGAGGGGAGGTGGAAAGGGGTCTTTTTCACTCATTTAAGAACTCTGTGTTGAGGACCTACTGTATGGGACCCTGCCAGGCCCTGGAGGCAGAGCAGGGACAAGACAGAGCCAGGCCCAGCTCCACAGAGCTTGTAGTCTAGAGAGGGAAATAAATACTTATTATACAAATGAGTGATTCTTTCTGGTTGTGATAAGCACTTGCTCAGATTGGCCACGCTGACTTTGCTTTGTGGAAATGCCCAAATGGGCCCCAGACCAGACCTCAGAGCCCAGCCCCTGCCCTTAAAGGGATGAGGGAAGAAGTGTCCCCTCTGCAGACATCTTGGCAGGGGAGGAAGTGGGTTCAAGGCTTGGCAATTGTTGGATGGCTGAGATCCAAACTTTCCTCTCGCCTTTAGGAGACGTAGGTGTTTCCTTCATGTGTTCAATAAATATTTACTGTGCCAGATGCTGTTCCAGGCAGTGGGGATACAGCAGTGAATGAGATAGATGAGGTCTCTGTCCTCCTGGAGCAGGTATTCTAGTGGAGGGAGACAGCAATAAAGAAGTAAACAAACAAGTAAATAATAAATACTTCCAAAGAGTAATTTGCACAAGGAAAATAAAACAGGGAGATGTGCTAAGGTGTTAGGGTTGGAGGCAAGGGGCTGCCTTAGCAAAAGTGGTCAGGGAAGGCTTCTCAGAGGAGGTGACGTCTGAGTGAGAAGGAGCCAACTGTATGAAGATCTTAGGCAAGGCTACTCCATGGTGTGGGAACCATGCTGTCCTAGACTTTAATCCCCCAGCTCAGTGACTTTGCCAAGGATTTTTGGGGGCCTTTTCCAGGGTCCCTAGCCACAGATCCAGTTCCAGTTCAGGGTCAGGGTCACCAAAACAGCCCCAAGGAGTGCATCTTGGGATGGGAGGCTGGTGTTCCTGAGGGCAAATGCCAGCTCTGCAGACACTGGCTCTGGGCAAGCGTTGTAGCCTCTCAGGGGCTGCAGGGGCAGAGCCGAGCAGTAGGGGGCGCTCACCCCAACCCCGAGGAAGCTCCAGGCTCAAGCGAACCAGTTAGTGACAGAGAGGTCCCTTCTAGTCCTTCAGCTGGCATTTACTGCACACCTACTGTGTACAAGGCGGGGTGCTAGGAGCTGTGGACGTGGGGGTGGAGGCAGACAGCAAACAAGGGATTAGCAAGATCCCTGTGTCTGAAGGGGCATCAGAGAAAGGGGGCTGAGGGATTTGGGGGTGGGAGTGGGCATCTCTGGCTGGCTGGTGATCAGGGGGCCCTGAGGCAGGGAGGTGGGGGCACACTGCTTATTGGGGGCGTGCTCTCGGGAGAAGGGGAGTGAGGGAAGCAGGATTGTGGCCTCACCGGGGTCTAGCTCCGGCCTGATCCCACAGGGAGCTTTGGGGCACGAACTGTACCCCAGAGTCGGTCCCACCTTGAGGCAACGGGCCTGGCTTTTTGTACCCACGTCAGTCAGTCACTGGCTGCGGCTGGCTGGGGTTGGGACGAGGGACATAGCCTCCCGGGGGACCTCTGGGCTGGTGGCCCGTTTTAGCAAGGGCACTCCCTGGGGAAGTGGGCAGCTGCAGGCAATGCTCAGAGCCGCTCAGGGTGGGGTGCCCGCCCCCACCCTGTGTGAGTTTTGGGTTGGTCAAGTGTGTCCCTTGAGTCCAGGGGGGAAATTGTGGTCTCTCCTACCTTTCTCCCTCCATTCCATGGGTCAGGACACGGATGGCAGCCCGAGGGACTTCTTTCTGCCTTGACCCTGGGGCTGCACTGACCCCTCTGAGCTGGGCTCAGGCTGGAGAGGCTCTGCCCAGGGCGGGCTGCTTCATCCACCTCTGTCCCCTCACCCGCCATGCTGAAGAGCGCACGCCTTTCCTTTCAGCCATTCCTCTCACTGCTTACGGACCAATGGCAGCAGCGGCAGCAGCGGCGGCTGTGGTTCGAGGGACAGGTGAGGACTTCTGGGGCGCAGGAAGCGAGTGAGGGGGTGCAGGGGGCAGAGAAGTCTAGAGGGGAGGGGAAGTGGCCACTGCCACCCCTCTTCAGAGGGACTCATTTATTCATTCAGTCAACAAGGATTAACTGAGCACCTGGCGAGCCAGCCAGGAAGGAGCCTGACATGGTCTCTGCCCTCCAGAGCTCACAGGCTGGGGGGGGGCCTCAGGTATTGGAAGGCAGTAGTACTGAAGGATGATACTGCCTTGCTGGGGAAGTCAGGTACCAGGGGAGCTCACAGCTGCGGCCTCTCGGGAAGGCTTCCAGGAGGAAGGGCCTCTCAACTTCCAGTTGGAAGGCAAAGAGGAGGAAAAGTGTTCCCAGCAGAGGGAATAGCATGTGCGAAGGCGTGGAGGCCAGTTAGCATGGGTGTAGTGCAGGAATGGGGAAAGGAGAGGAGTAGGAGGAACTAGGTCCTGGGGAGACACTGAACATTTTAAGCAGTGGTGTGGTGTCAGTTTTGGAAAATGTGCTCAGCTGTGGTGTGGGGACAGGTTTGAGGGGCTCAAGAAGGGAGGCCTGGAAATCAGTGGGGAGGCTGTTGAGTGGTCAGACAAGAGATGATGGGGCCTGGGCTAGGTCTGGTGGGGTGGATGGACTTGGAGAGATCTCCAGGAGGTGGGCCCACAGGCCCTGCTGGGATGTGAGGGGGAGGGGGAGGGAGAGGGCAAGATCAGGGGGGTGGAACAAATTTGAGGGGTGCCATGGCGCAGCAGTGGGCACCGGGGCTATCACCGTCTTCTTTCTGGGTTGCCAGGCTCTCACCCCTGGACGATGGCTCCCCCTCCAGGTTCGACTCCCAGCCGCACAGGGGGCTTCCTGGGGACCACCAGCCCCGGCCCTATGGCCGAGCTTTATGGGGCAGCCAACCAGGACTCAGGGGTCAGCAGTTACATCAGCGCTGCCAGCCCCGCCCCCAGCACCGGCTTCGGCCACAGTCTCGGGGTGAGTGACCGGTCCTGGAGGACCCTGAAGTTGGAGGTGGGAGAGGCCTTGTCTGCCTGCGGGGGCAGAAGGGAGGCAAGGGATGATGGATGGAGAAAGAGTGTCACCAAGGGGGACATCATTCATTCATTGGGCATTTACTGATTGCCCTGTGTGTGCCAGGCATTAGGTGGCCCTGGGGATACTGTGCAAATGAGACTCATCGTTTCTGCCTTCACAGAGGCTAGATTCTAGCTCAGGGGTGCTCGAATTTTATCCAGTGTCCTGGTTATATGCAGATTCCCAGGCCCTACCCCAGAGAATCTTTTAGTGGGTCTGCAGTGGGGGCAATATGGGCAGAGCTGTGCCTCACCTCAGGTTTCCTGCAGGAGAGAGGAGCCCCTGGGCTTTCTCTGCTTCCCCTCAGAATCTACGAGTCAAATTCTTTTCTTTCCAGGGCCCCTTGATTGCCACAGCTTTCACCAATGGGTACCACTGAAGCAGGAGACAGGTGGCAGATGGTGAGGAGATGGGGAGGGGTCTTGGGATGGGGATGGCACTGGGGAGGCTGGTACCTGGGCAGCCCAGTCTAGGACACAGACCCCATCCCTGCCTCCACAGAACCCCCAGTCCAGTGGGGCAGCAGACTTTCATACCAGCAATGGTCAATGAACATGAAAAGCTGTTCAACCTGCTACATAAAAAATGTAAATGAGGGGCCGGCCTGGTGGCCTAACGGTTAAGTGTGTGCGCTCTGTGGCCCAGGGTTCACAGGTTCGGATCCCTTGGGCACACTGAGGCACCGCTTGTCAAGCCATGCTGTGGCGGCGTCCCATAAAGAGTAGAGGAAGGCATGGATGTTAGCTCAGGGCCAATCTTCCTCACCAAAAAGAGGAGGATTGGAAACAGATGTTAGCTCAGGGCTCAGCTTGCTCACACAAAAAAAAAAGTAAATGAAAACAACAATAAGACGGCACATGCTACTCATCAGGCGAGGATTTTTAAAGATTGCTGATGCTCATCATTGATGAGGGTGTAAGGGAAACTGTGCAAATTGGCTTGGGGTTTCCAAAGGGCAGTCTGGCAGTGTTTATCCAGATTTTAAACATTGATTCCCTTGACCCAATGATTCTGCTTCACATAACTGAAATGTCCTCGAAAGGAGAGTCGTTAAATAAACTCGAGTGTATACATACAATGGAATATTACACAGCAGTTAAAACAGGATACCATGGATATATGTCCATATACAGAGAGAGAGCCAGCGCCCTGTACACACAGTCCTCCTGTGGTCTATAGCCAGATGGTAGGGTACTCGTGAACCAGTGACATTTCATTTTTTTATTCATTCATTCCAACAACTATTTATTGAGCACTATTCCAGGAAAGAGTGATGTATAAGACAGACAAGGCCGCTCTCTCATTCTACAGACAAAAATCAAACGAACAAATGAGATAATTCCAAATTGTGCATGAAGAGCCTACTTCAGATTAGGGCTTCGGAGAAGGCATCCCTGAGAAGTGACATATGAATATATCCAGCCATTCAAAATCTGGGGCAAGAGCGTTCCAGACAGGGAACAGAAAGTGCAAAGTGTGTGAACAAAGCTTGTCCAGGAGGGGATTACAGAAGAGGCCTTATGCACTGGGATGTGTGTTCTGGGGGCCCCAAAGAGGCGGGGTGGGATGGAGGGTTCAGGGAGCAGGACACCGGGTACCCCTAACCTCCCTCTGTGTTCCAGCGCCCCAGCCTGCAGCTGACTTAGGACCACGAGTGAGCCAGCGAGGGGGCGGGGACACCTCAGCCGCAGCCGCCGCCCCCTCCCCCGCAGCGACTCGGACCCGCTACTGCCTGCCCCCCACTCCCCGGGCCCGGCCCCTGCCCTGCTGCCCCTGGGCAGCGTCTGGCTCCCCTACTAACTTCCCCTCTTCTGCCCCGACCCCCTCCCCCGCCTGCCCCACTCCTGCCCGCTTTTATTTATTTTGGATTAGCCGGTTGCCCCCCACCGTCCCTGGTTCTCCCCTCTGGCGTCTGCGCCCCTCCCTCACTCCCTGCCGCGCCCCATAGGACCCCCCCAAGAAGGCTTTTGTATTTGTGCATAGCTAGAGTGAGGGCGGAGGGGGCCTGCTACAGGCCACAGCCCCAACGCTTGTTTTTTATTCTGATTTTCCCTCTTCTCGTTCCTTTTTTTTTTTTTTTTTTTTTAAGAAACTGTTTTTTAAACTATTTCTAGGTTTGTGAATGTGAAGCCCCAGGCCGCAGGGGGCGAGGGGCCAGGTGCCCCCCACCAGCTGAGAACAAAATGTCTATGTGGGTGTGGGCCCCTGGCCACCTCCCTCCAGCCCTGGAGAGGAGGACAGGGCTGCATAGGCCAGGCCGAGCCCCTGGAACCATCCCGTCCTGTATCATATGTAAATACTGTGAGGTGAAGCCCCCACCCCTCTCTAAGACCCCTTGGGGGTGCGGGCATCGCCTGGCCCACCTGGCAAAGGTCTCCCCCTGTGTTTCTGTCCCCTCCTCAGACACCGTTACTGTAAGCTTGCAGGCCTCACCTGTGGCCAAGGCAGGCCCGCTCTCTCAGGCCCTAGGGGTCAAGGCCTTGGGCCTGCCCACCCCGGAAACCCAGTGTGGGGGCAAGGGGCGAGGGAAGAGAAGGGCTCGCCCGGTGCCACTGCTGGAAAGGAATTAACTCTCCAAAGGTCTCCCCCTGCCCCCTACCTAGGTCAGGCCTTCATGGTTTCTGCTCTGAGCCGCCCCCATGAGTGGGCAGCAGGGGGCACTTTGGGATGGGGCAGACCCCAGGGGAAAGCAAAGGGCTTCTCAGGGAACCCCCACATTCTCTCACTGAAGTTTCCCACCAGGATGGTCCTATGGCCAGAGCCCCTTGGTAGCCCCCCACCCCTGAGTCCCCTTCAAAGGAAATGCTCAGGGCCTGACTTGATGAAGAGTGAGTGACTGGGCTGGCGTGGCAGGGCTGAGGCTCACCCGTCGCCGTCCCCCCCTCTGTGTCCCTCTCCCCCAGATCTGAGGCTGGGGACCTAAGCTCCCTTCCCCATCAAAGTCTCTACTCCTTAAGACCCCCTTTGGAGAGTTAATTGTCTGTGTGAGGTGCTTAACCTATTAGCCCTGAGAACACAAAGCAATAATCTTTGTTACTGAGATGCGCGGCTGTTCATGTTCTTTCTTTCTTTTTTTTTTTTTTTTAATGTTTCCTAATAAAAGAGAAGCTGCATTTTATTGGTTTTTATTTTTAATTTTCTACACATTTGAGCCGAGTCGTGAGAGACTTGGCTTCCCTTTCCTCCCCTTCCTGTGACACCCCCACCCCCACCCCACTGGGCCCACCCATGGGCTCAGGGCCCTGGAATTCCGTTTTCTGATTTGTTTGGGGAATTTTTTAAAAAGATGTTACATGGTGTTTCGAAGCCAGCAAGTTACCACCCTCCGGTGTCTCTTCTCTCCACATCTGTAACTTCTTTTTCCAGGTTTTATTTTCAGTTTTAAATTCCTAATAAATTATTTGAAAACGGTACTTGGCTTGAGTGTCTTGCATCTCTGTGTGGATTCAGGTCTAGGCACCCCAATGATAATCTGTTTTCCCTTCCCTTCTCCTGTTTTTCTTCTGGAACAGTCTTCACTTTCCACTTGACCCAGCTTCCTTCTCCAACTTCTTGACCAGCCTCAAAGCTGAGCGTTGATGAGATACCACTTCATGCCCATTACAATGGCCATTATCCAAAAAACAGAAAATAACAAATATTGGTGAGGATGTAGAGAAATTGGAACCCCTGTGCATTGCTGGTGGGAATGTGAAATGGTGCAGCTACTGTGGAAAACGGTTTGGTAGTTTCTCAAAAAGCTAAATGTTGAATTACCATGTGACCCAGCAATGCCACCCCTAGGTATACACCCAAAGAAACTGAAAGCAGGGACTCAAACAGATACTTGTACGCCCATGTTCATAGCCGCATTAGTCACAATAGCCAAAAGGTGGAAACAATTCAAGTATCCATCAACAAAAGAATGGATAAACAAAATGTACTCTAGCCATACAATGGAATATTACTCAGCCATGAAAAGGAATGAAGCACTGACACCTGCTACAACATGGCTGAACCTCGAAGACGTTATGGTAAATGAAAGAAGCCAGACACAAAAGGACAAATATTGTATGATTCCATCTGTGGGAGTTACCTGGAATAGGCAAATTGATAGAGACAGAATGTAGATTAGAGGTTACCAGGGGTGGGCGAGGAGGGAATGAGGAGTTATTCCTTAATGGTTACAGAGTTTCTGTTTGGGGTAATGAAAAAGTTTTGGAAATACATAGTGGTGATGGTTGCAGAACATTGTGAATATAATTAATGCCACTGAACGGTACACTTAAAATGGTAAATTTTGTTATGCATACTCTACCACAATTAAAAAAAAAAAAAAAGAAAGCTTAGCATTAGACCCCTTGCTCTGGTTTGCCTTTAACGCAAAGGGAATCCTAAGAGAGCGAGGGGGGACACCAGCTCAGGTTGGGGTGGGTATAGCCAAATGGTTAGATGTGTGGGTTCCAAGACCCAGCTCCTCCCCTTCCTAGCTGAGGGACATTGAACAGGTTCCCCAACATCTCTGAGCCTCAATTTTCATATCTGGCAAATGATAAGGAAGCCAGATATAAAGGGCCACATATGGTAAGATTCCATTTATATGAAATATGCAGAAGAGGTAAATCCATAGAGATAGAAAACACATTGCAAGGGGCTTGGGGGGGGGGTCAATGGGGAGTAATCGCTTAATGGTAAAGAGGTTTCCTCTGGGTGATGAAAATATTTGGAACTAGAGGTGCTGGTGGCCCAACATTGTGAATGTATTAAATGCCACTGAACTGTTCACTTTATCATGGTTAATTTTATGTTACAGGAATTTCACCTCGATAAACTTAAAAAGAGAGCGCTAGCAGTAACTTGGGGGTTAAGAATTAAGTGGGAGGGTGAGCACAGAGGCCTCAACACCAGGCAAGGCACACAGTAAGAGCTTGGTAAATAGTAGCTGCTATTAATACCGGGCTGCCCCAGGTGCCTGGCAATGCGTGATTGGAGCTCAGCAGTGGCCGCCCCCTCCCGAGTGGGACCAACAGCTTGTGGTTCACACGTTCGCTCAACAAATATTCCCTTAGCATCTACTGTGTGTAAGACACCGTGTTAGGCACTTACAGGCTGACCAACTTGTCCTGCTCTGCTGGGGACATTCCTGGTTTGAAAACAGGAAGCTCTGAGTCCCAAGAACCCTTCAGTCCCTGGAAAACCAGGACAATTGGTCCCCCTAAAACATTGATTTAGTTTGGGTGTGGGTGTGGGGTCAAGTTCAAGTGAGATCTGACAGAAGAGTAAGAATGAACCTGGCAATTTGAGGAGGAGGGCATACCAGGAGGAGAGACCAGCATGCAAAAGGCTTGACATGGAAGAAGCACGAGGTCTTTAATCAAGGAGCTGAAAGAAGGCCTGTAGTGGCTGGAGTAGAGGGTATCTCACCCCACTCCAGGTGGAGAGCTAGTAGCAGCAGATCAGACCGGGCCTCTAGGCTGGTTTTATTTCTTACATAAGAGCCACTGGGAAGACGTGAAGTGGAGTGGGAGACTGATGACACAATCAGGTTTGCATTTGAAGAGGTCTTCAGGCTACACAATGGGGAACAGATTTGAGGGAGGCCATTTCAGAGCGGAGCAGGGAGACACTGAGGAGGCTGCTGCAATCATCTGGGCGGGAGATGCTGAGGCATGGACCAGGGTGTTGGAGGTTGAAAGAAGGGTGTGGCTTGAGAGCTGGACTTGGGATGGGACTAGATGGAGAAGGGGGCGAGGAGAGGGAATGTTTGGGACAGTTCCTAGGTTTCCAAAGACCTGGGCTTTGAAGAAGGTCAGCTTCCTGGGTGGCTGTGCTCAGCCTGGGAAATAATCTCAGCTGACCTCAGATGCAACTGGAGACACGGTGTGATAAGAGGAGGAATGGGAATCAGCACCTTAGGGTGACCTTGGCTAAGTTAAACCCACCCCAATGTTATCTAAGGCCTTCTGGGAACCTCCCAAAAGACACATACGGGGCTCAATGCTTTATCACATTAATCCTCCCAGCACTCTCCTCCTACATATGGGGAAACAGAAGCTCAGAGATGTGACGTATCTCACTCCAAGTCACACAGCTTTTAAGTGGCAAGGTGGGACTTCAAAACTAGGTCCTCTGATCCCATAGTGGCTTTGCTTTTATTTTTCTTCTTTCATACAATACTTGATTCACACATAAGAGTACATATAGCTTATTTGGATATGATTTGGAAAAACTCACTGTAAAAAGACATTTTGAGACAATTGAAGGTCTCCGAAAGTGGTCTGGGTATTAGATAATACTAAGAAAGTATTGTTATTTTTGTTAAGTGTGATCATGGCATTGTAGTTAATGTTTACAAAAATTTCTGCTGTAAGCTTTTCTCAGATCAGGAACAAAGCAAGGATGCCTGCTTTGGCCACTTCTATTCAACATAGTATTGGAAGTCCTAGCCACAGCAATTAGGCAAGAAAAAGAAATAAAAGGCATCTAAATTGGAACAGAAGAAGTAAAATTATCTCTGTTCCCAGATGACATATTCTTATGTAGAAAACCCTAAATATTCCACAAAAACTGTTAGAACTAATAAAAGAATTCAGCAAAGTTGCAGGATACAAAAATCAACACACAAAAATCAATTGTGTTTCTATACATTAATATGAACAATCAGAAAAGGAAATTAAGAAAACAGTCCCATTTACAATAGCATCAAAAATAATAAAATATTTACCAATAAATCTAACCAAGGAGGTAAAAGACTTGTACTTTGAAAACTACAAAACATCACTGAAAGAAATTGAAGAAGA